TGTGTGTGTGTGTGTGTGTGTGTGTGTGTGTGTGTGTGCGTGCGTGCATATTGTGTGTTTGTTCGTATGTGTTAGTATGTATGTGCAGTTGTGTGTTTATGAGTGTGTTTTTTCATCGCTTTCTCTTTCTCTCCCACTCCCTTTCTCTCTTTGTTGTTGAGAATGCTCTTCATAACAGCAACTGGTGTGGTTTGCTCCTTCTTTCCTATCAAACATCTTTCGTTTGTTACTCTCTTGTAACACTTCTAGAACTCTTCGGCACTTGTATGACCTTATTGTGTTGCAAGTGCCGTAAAACTCTTACTAAAACTCTCTCTCTTTCTCTCTCTGTATATACTTGCATGTATGTCTGTTGTTGTGGATGCCTGTGTATGTCCATGTGTGTGTTCTTGCGTAAGGATATCTATTCTTTTTAACTTTTTATTTTACTTCCTTTGCCTTCATATTTTGAGTCTTTTAGCCTGTCTCCTTGCTACACACCACTGTGTATTATTTTTCTCTCCCCGATCTACTTCTCTTCCATGAACAACAAAGTCGATGCAGGTCATTTCGAGTTACTTTCTGTTTGGATGTTGCACTGGCCCAGGCCTCTACTACGTTCTTATACCTGAGGTTCTGAGCGTCTAGGCCCAAGCGCATGTCAAAGCAACTTGCTTCTAATAGGTTGGGTGGTTGGCGGGTGCTCTGGTGTGGTTTGCTCCTTTTTTTCTATCAAACATCTATCATCTTTATCTCCCCTCCTTCTTTGTTTGTGTTTGTTACTCCCTTGTAACACCTCTAATCTTCGGCACTTATATGACCTTATTGTGCTGCAAGTGCCGTAAAACTCTTTCTAAAATAAAAATGCCTCTTATAGAATCTTAAATGGTCGTAATAGTTTTTTAAATGCGGGTAGTTGGCGGTTGCTCTGGTGTGGTTTGCTCCTTCTTTCCTATCAAGCATCTATTGTCAATATCTCTCCTCCTTCTTTTTAAATTGTATTACTCTCTTTTAACACCTTTAATCTTTGGTACTTCTATGAACTGATTGCTTTGCAAGTGCCATAATATAACTCCTGCTTAAACTAAAAATAGTTTTGATGCGGGTGTGAAAGTTTCTACGAATGAAAACTGCAATAAATTTGAGTTAATTGGTAAATGTGTGAATGTCTCGTACAGACGTTCTCATGTGTCACCCGTCAATTATTCATGTTCGGGATAAATTCTGTTGATTCCGCAAATGATAAAGTAGGAAGTATCAAACTACACGCACTGTCACACTTGGCTGGCTGCTCTCATTTGACTGTCTGCCACTGTGCACCCTAATTAATTAAAACCCTGATGTACTGTGAGATACTGTGGTATCAAGTGTATATATA